TCTCTCTCTCTCTCTTTCTCTCTCTCTCTCTCTCTCTCTCTCTCTCTCTCTCTCTCTCTCTCTCTCTCTCTCTCTCTCTCTCTCTCCCCTTTCTCTCTGTCTCTCTCTTTTTTTTTCTTCTTTTTTTCTTTTTTTTTTATCTCGACCTACATCCCAAATTGGGTATAGAATAAGGGAGCAGTGTTGTGAAACATATTCGGAACTATTTCGCAATACTGTCCATTGGCCCCGTCCTCGCCAATGGTTGTGGTCGACAACCTTCTTTATTAATCTAGATTTCTTTCTTTATTCTACAAATATATACAATAGTGAACTTACATCTCTAATCTCTATTAATCCTACTATCTATTACTGTTTGTTCTATGTCTAGGTCCTTAATATTAGTGTAAGCACAGGGTTTTGTCCTCGTTTCTCTGAGGCAGAGTAGGGATGACCGCAGCAACGAAAAGGCCAGCCGACATCTTATCCATGCCACGACACAGCTTTTTTGTTGTTGTTTTCTTTCGGCAAGCTGCTATGCGAGGCATGAATAAAATGTGATGGCACTTGGTGCCATTCCTCCCGCTGTGGTGAAGACAAGAGGCGTGAATGTCCCTTGTTCCACCTCCCGTATCCGCTCTCCGTACTCCCACATTTTTTTCTGTGTGCTAATGTGAGTTCCTGTGAGCGATTGCTTGAGGCCATGGGGTTGAAAATTCTTATATCAAAGAAGGCCCGCTGTCCTCTTATCCAGAATCCTCTCGCACTCACATTCAGGGGGCATCGTCGGCGGTGTTGGTAGACTGCAGCGAGAAGTTCCGTCCGGTCGTGGGTATGAGGCCTGGCTCAACCCTAACGTAACGGCACACCTAGCCGAGCATTTGTGCCGTCACGTCCCTCACCTTGTCATGACGCATGCAGACGAATCCACCCGTCTTGCACGTCATGGCGTGATTTGGGTCGAATGATGAGCCGCAGGTGCAGTGCTGGTGGAGACCCTCAATTGACCAGCCATATGGTAGGCAGATGGCATCTGTAAACTCTTGCTTGTTCAGGCTAAATCCTTTAGATTTTATGGGTAGCATTGATAGCCAATTTGATGCACCTATTTCCCTTGCTATTTCTATTCTTCTTTTCACTTTCTCTGATAATAGTGTGTTTATCTCTTGCAATTCTGCTTTCTGTTTGGTCTCTCTTGTTCTAGCGATTTCCTTCCTGATTTGTTGTTGCTCCCTCATGTCTGTCTGTGTGTCCATGTCTTGTGATATGATTGATTGAGTTAGTTTGGCTGTGAGCTTGATGGAGTTCTGAAATTCGATATTGGCGGTCTTGCTTGGATTTAAGATACCGAGACCTCCTAATCTTGGTGGCAGCTCAAGGATTGACCTTTCTAGGTCTGTGGTGTTCCTATTTCCTGAGAGTGCTGGTATAAATTCCTGTCTTATCGCTGCTTCCAGGGGAGTGCGGTTCTCATCTTGCGATGCTTGTTAGAGTCTTCAGCTTGCTTTTCCATTTGTTCACCTGCGACCTCACGTATTCCACCTTGGCCTCTGTAGTGCCCAAAACTGCTCCGAGGTGTTTCTCCCCACCTGCCTTTATGTTTATATCTGTGTCTCGGAAAGACTTCTTGGCAAGGCCGAGATGTTCTGGCTTAACGATTAGAACTGATTTATTTGCTATTTCCCACCATCTTCGAAGGTCCTTTAATTTTCCGGCTCCTGTGAGGTCGTCGGCGTATGCAACTTGTTTGATGAATGAGGAAACACTCTACCGTGTTGATACTATGGTAGAAAAACCCACAATGTAAAAACTAGATTTATTGAAAATGAAAATGAGACAACAGTTTCGGAATCCACCTGGATTCCATCCTCAGGTCTAAATCTAGTTTCTACATTGTGGGTTTTTCTACCAACTTGTTTGATGTTCGTTTTGCTGTGTTCCTTCGGATGATGCCATCACTTCACTGGTGTTTGTTTCTATGTTGTTAATGTATAGCTTTGTCGGTTCTCTGTACGTGTTGGATATATACTGAGTAAAGCTGGGGCATTTGATTTTGATATTTTGTATGGTGGCCTGCCTGTTGATGTTATTGAAAGCGTTCGCCGCATCCACCATCAGTACCGCCTCGAAGTCGGGCTCCTCGAATATTTTGCACATGGCATGGATGGCAGCCTCGCATCCCGCTGGTTGACCTACGCACACTCGGAGATTGCCCACTGCTCTTTTGATGTCATCTCCGACGACTTCCATTATGGCTTTGCCGATAATTCTTCTCAGGACCTCTCCGATCCCGATTGGTCGACAGACTGGTCGCTTATCTAAAGCAATGAGACGGCATGATGTTAATGCCTCAATATGTCGGCAATCTTCCGTGGCGAGCTTTCTTGCTAAATCTGCTATTGCCTTACTTAGATCGCCTGCTGCATTCCCGAATCTACTGGTGCTCAGAATGCTCTTCCATCTGTCTGCATCAAGTCCCGAGGGTCCAGCTGCTCCGTTGGTGTTGAGCGCGTGTCTCCTG